CAAGCCCAAACTTGCAAACCACAAAATCAAAAAGAGCTCATCCTAAACCCCAATCGCGATAAACCCTAGTTCGCGAAACGCCACCATCGACCTTGCTATCAGCCGCAAGCCTCCATGGCCACCATGCCGCAATAATAACCATGCCGCCACCCAAACACCATTGAAGCCTCCATGGAAACCCTGCAAATAAAAAAACCACAGAGCCACCGTAGAGCCATCTTCGCACATGCAAATCGAAAAATGAGAGACCCTTCGCATCCATCATTGGCCGCCGTGAATGAAGGGGCGAAACCCTGATTCTAAAAAATCTTCACCAATTTGCAGAATAAGCAATGGCGTAATGAAGATGCCCGTGAGGGTTTCTCTGCTTCGTGATTTCTGTGTGTGATTTGATTCATGATGATCGCAAATGGTGAGGATTTCGCAGAGGAAGCAATAGTCGCAGTGGTTGTGGCAGCGCGAAGGAGATGACGACAACGCCATGATGGTTGTCAATTTTTTTTGTAAAAAAAATAAATAAAAAAGATATGTCAAAATATATTGAATTCCATCTCATTTAGAAACGAAGCTCAGCGTGTCATGTTAACCATATGTTAACGTTGTTGGACCTAATTTAACGGCAAGGGTCTAATTGTTGCAATTTTCATAAAATAAGGACCCAATTGAGGCGCCGAGAAAGAAAAGGATCAATTTGAGATTCTGAACAAAAATAGAAACCTATCGTAACATTAAACCAAAAAAATATATATTTAAATACATTAAATATATTTAAAATTATTTATACAGTTATATTCATTAATAAAGAAAACAATAATAAAAATATTGAATATTTTAAATATAACATTTTATTCATCTTCATTGTATACTTTTCAAATGGGATTTTATATGTCTAACAAGACTCGCAATACCAATATTAAAAATCGGAAAGAATAGATAAGATGCAACGTTTGACCGTTGCCACACTAGAGTTTCTGGTGAGATTGATTGTGTTATTATCTAAAAGGCTTTACTTCTTCGTAAAGACAAACCCGCCATCATTAATTTCAACATTTAAATTAGTTTGGGAATTAAAATTGAAATATATCTAATAATAGCTATCAAGACTTTAATATTTAAATTAATCTTTAATTTAAAATTAAAGATTAATTTAAAATCGATAATAGTAAATAATTAATGTTAGAAACTAATTTATACATTAATTTATAAATCAATAGTAATATTTTATTTATAATAAAATCTATTTTAAATATTAATAATTTTTAATTTATAAAATAATATTTAACTCAATTAATAGTTATTTTAATTACTATTTAATATTTTTTTGTTATAGATAAGGTCACAACCATCAATGGAAGAGTGAGAACAATGAAATTGCTAGAAAAGTAGAAATACAAATAACTTTTTGTTCTTATAAAAGTAAAATGTTATGTCATAATATCTTGAAAACTAACATAGGAGGAAGTTATGAGAGAGAATAACTATAAGCAGAACAGGGATTTGAAAGTTTGAGGAAAGGTTGAATTTATTCACATAGGATTAAAGAAGGAATGTATATCCCATCAGCCTACAGCGGGGATGGTTTGAAACAGGGAATTATATAGCTGTCAAATTAGTACATTAGGCCTGGCCCTAACCCATGTGGTTTGTGGTTTGGAGCCAAACCCGCCAAAACCATTTCTTAATAAAAAGGCTCGAGTGTTGCTTTCTTTACCATCATCAAATACTTCCTCTATTATCTATGCCTAATTTGACTTTGTTATAAATTGATGTCAATATCCATTTCGCCTTCAAGAATATGTTGACATCCGTGAATATATGTTAATATCCGTGAGCGGATGTTGATATTCGTTCATATATTTTATATTTTATTTTATTGTTTTTATTTAAAAAAAAAAGAAAACTTCAACGTATTTTAATTATTATTTAAATAATAATATATAAATTAAATTAATAATAATTATTTTATTAAATAAAATAATATTAATTTGAAAATAATTAAGTAATAATTTTAAAAAAATTAAATAATATTTATATATTAATTTAAAATACAATAAATTAAAAAACTAAAAACTAAAAAAACTTCAACAAATGTCATCACATCCGTTTTAATAAATTTTTAATAAATATTTTAATTATTATTTAAATAATAATACATAAATTAAATTAATAATAATTATTTTATTAAATAAAATAAAATTAATTTACAAATAATTAAATAATACTTTTAAAAAAATTAAATAATATTTATATATTAATTTAAAATATAAAAATTAAAAAACTAAAAACTAAAAAAAAATCTTCAACAGATGTCGTCACATCCATTTTAATAAATTTATAAAAAATATTTTAATTATTATTTAAATAATAATACATAAATTAAATTAATAATAATTATTTTATTAAATAAAATAAAATAAATTTATAAATAATTAAGTAATAATTTTAAAAAATTAAATAATATTTATAGATTAATTTAAAATACAATAAATTAAAAAATTACGGATGTGACACATCCGTTTTAATAGATTTATAAAAAATATTTTAATTATTATTTAAATAATAATATATAAATTAAATTAATAATAATTATTTTATTAAATAAAATAAAATTAATTTATAAATAATTAAGTAATAATTTTAAAAAATTAAATAATATTTATATATTAATTTAAAACACAATAAATTAAAAAACTAAAAACTAAAAAAAGTTAAAAAACTAAAAAAAAAAACTCAACGGATATGGCACATCCGTTTAAATAAAGAGGTGGGGGTGTAAGATATTTTAAAATATAAAGGATAATTTTGGAATTTTATAAAAATGTGGTGGTGCAGAAAGTAATGTGGGGTGGTGTAGGAAGTAACTCTCAAAAGGCTTATAGGACCAAATATTCACAAAGTCCAATAGGCTACCTCAGTCCATGAATATTTTTTTTTAGCATGAGAAAATTATAATAATAAATCATAAATCTAGAAATAAAATATTTATAATCTCCACATCACTACTTTGTAAACGTTGTTTCGGCTTGTTTTGACCCTTATGATTCTTGTTCTCTTCACCAAGTCTCTCAATTTTCATCACATCATTTCCAGCCACAAATTGAATTTTCTCCAATTCTACACAGTTATCAAATTTAGAATCCTCATCCTCTTATTGCTTAGGATCATCACATTCAAACTATCCAGACTCCTCACATCACAACTCTCATAATAGCTATCATAATTGTCATTCGCAAAACTCATCAACTTCTCTGGTTGATGATACTTGAGTGGAGAAAATGATCCTCCAGTCTTTTACTGACGAATTACAGCGATTTGATCATCCTGCTCAGCTAATGATCAATGTGTTTTATAGAAGTCTTCAACCATGATGTGGTCTCTTCTTGTAATAAATCTCAGCACGTTGGGAAAAGGAACCTGCATCTTCTTCAATTAGTTTTGACATTGCCTATTGCCTTTGTCTTCTCATGTTCCATTATTAAACTACATATGAACAACAAGGCCAGGACATCATCCGCATGACCTAATTATCCAACTAAGCTTTCACTTCCAGAAAAATAAATATAATCCAACTAAGCACTAATTTCTAGAGCTAATAACAAATGCATAGGGACAAAGTCAAAAGGGAGCAAGAGAAAAAGGTTTTAAAAAGTGAAGCTCATGAAATATAAGAAAACAGAGATTTTTCATTTTTCTAAACCAGTACTTTCTATACATCCTTACGTCTTCTTTTGAAAATGGCCCTTTTCTTTTAAGTAATTCTTTTTAAATATATTTCTATAAATCACTTTGCTAAATGCATGTGTTTGTGTATGTACAAGACAAAATATATTTCTAGAAGAAGAGTTTCACTAATCTTTTACCTAGGGAAGAGTTTCACACATCCATCATTAACTGAGCGTATGATCAAATCGCTGTAATTCATTAGTAGAAGACATTTTCTCCACTCAAGCATAATCAACCAGAGAAGTTAATGAGTTTTGCGAATAACAATTATGATAACTATTCTGAGGTTGTCAAACTCGAGAGTTTATGTAAACTCGTGGAAATTTCGTAAACTCAGATTGTGTAAAAATATTTTAAAATATTTATAAATAATAAAATAATTTAACATTTATAATGTTATAAATAATTGTTTTTATTTTTTCATAATATTATTATAATTATTAGTTTATTATATTTTATATATATTTAAATATTTTTATTTAATATTATTATTCTTTTGCCGTAAGTTTAACTCAGTATATAGTTGAGAGTTCAGTTAAAAAAACAATAGTATCGGTTTAATAGTTTAGCATAATAAAAGGAGGTTGAATGATCTATAATAATAAGTAAATGATATTAAATATTTTAATATGAAATATTTATATGCTAAAATAAAAAGCTGAACACACAGCTCTACTTTTATATTGAATATTTTAATATTAAATATTTATATGCTAAAATAAAAAACTAGAGATAAAAAAAATCATAAGGTCAGAACAAGCGGAAACAACGTTTACTAAGGAGTGGTGTTGAGATTATAAATATTTTATTTCTAAATTTGTGATTTATTATTATAATTTTCTCATGCTAAAAAGGAAGACTCTTGGACTGACTCTAGTTCATAAGACTTAGTGGATATTTGGTTCTATGGACTTTTTTTAATAAGGAATTTTTCCGGTCCCGTGGGCTTTTTGATTCCAACCCACGTGAGCACATGGGTTAGGATTGGGGCCTATCAAATGAGCTTATTTGACAGTTATAGATGGAAGGTGTTATACTAAATTGTAAACAAACATCTGTCCGGTGGCAGATATGAAGTAAAATGCTACTAGGGATTTTATTTAATGTTGTGTTGTTCATAAAAAAGAAACACATAAGATTATAAGCATAGTAAGATTTCGCTCATACAAGGTGACACATCCACGAACATAGGGCTCAGAAAAATATGAATGTTTGAAATCACAAAACAACCATTCATCAAGTTAAATTGTTTCCACCAGAATGTTGAAAATAAAATAAAGAAAATGAACAAGAACTCAGGTTCAAATAGTCTGACACGGTAAAACATAACAATAAAGAGCAGGACAATGATATCCTTGGCAACTCTGGAGCATTGCAAACATAGACAAGATGGTATTATCTCTTAGCGATTATGCTAATGAACTAGTTTTTCTGATTGAAGTTGGAGAAGTTATATATTAGGGCCATAATGCCCCCTGGAGAGTTGTGGTTGCTGAGGGTTCAGATGCTGCTGAGATGGAGGATTATGAAACTGTTGCAGAGGTAACTTGGAAGAGAATGGAGAGAAAAAGTTCCCTTGAAAACGACAACTCAATAAAACATCTAGATTTCTATTTTCATCCTTCAGGCCCTGAATTTCTCCATTCAACACAACACTCAGAGCTGCAAATTACAAGACTCTCATTATCAAAGTATCGTAAAAAATCACAATCTAATTGCGGCTTACAATTTGTCCTCTTTCTTATACAATTTTCTTTTTTAGTTTAATAAAAGTAATAATCTATAAATGTAGAAATGCAGATATATGATGATATTGTTAGTGCTATAGGAGTAAACAACTATGAAACTATGCATATACCATCTTTAAGTCGGTCTTCTTCTCGCTTGATGTCTAATTTTACTCTGACCTCCTTTACATGAAGAGACCTTCCTCTGTTCCCCATCTGCATATGTGTACGTAATTAAACATACGAAATCAACAAAATTTTTATTCTATTAGAGGAAAGTTATTAAGCTCCTCATCAATTGACCCAAGGTAATGATAATAAAAGCAAGTATATAACATGAATGAAAAAAGTATACATCGGGACAGAAATTACATCTTCAAAATTGCACAGCATTATTTAATGGTTCCAGTCATAATATCATATTTTAAGTATTACAAACTTTATTTTTTAAGTGTGATTTAATATTATTTTGTAAAAAGGAAGAAACATAATAAAAAGTTCATTTTAATAAAATATTTATAAAATTTCTTATTTCTATATGCAATAAATGTATATATGTGTGTGTATGATTAAAGACTGGATAAAAAAAGTAATAGAATCAATTTAACAGTGAAATAAAAACAAAATTGTAATGCAACTCTTTAAAAGAAACCAAGAGAGTTTTACTACTTCAATAATTACAAAATAAACATATGTCATTAATTTAGCCGTAAACACACAAGTCACTCTCTCAACTATCATAATGTCATGGACGTAAACCTAATTACCAAGGTATTATGATTAACCATTTAGGAAATCATGTCACCGTAATATGCGAGTATAACAAATCAAGTCATAGGTAGATGGTATAGTGAATTTGATTATATTTCTTGAAACTGTATTGATCCTATGGAGTTAGAAAAATCACCAAGTGAAGAATACAAGGGAAGAATTATCACCAAATGGAGTTATTAACATAACCAACCTAATCGTTAGTAAAATCGTTTCGACCATATTAAAGTATGTGATGTTTAAAAACTTAGGATACAACATGAATTGATTATGTATATGATCATGCTTAAGTCTACTATTTGAAGACCAGCCCTTTGAGATTTTAGGTTCTAAACACTCACGTGAGATTCTAGTAATTGGGGAATTCAAGATATGCCTGATATATTATATCAGATACAGTGAAATGCGGTGTAGACCGAACTTTGCCGATCAAAAAAGAGAAGTATTAATTGTTTTTTTTTTAACAAATAAAACCTTAGAGGTAGGATTACTTTATAGATATACCGCAAGTAGTATTTTTTTACATAATCACATTCTAGAACATTTAGTCATAGTTGTTAAAAATGAACATTAAGGTTGGTATACAATGGTCAGACAAGTCTTTCTAATATATGTAGTAAAGAGAAAGATTAAGTATTAAGAGCACTAAAACTTGTTAGGGGTTTGTGTTATATGGGTTAAACAACAAATTAGGTAGTGAAAACAGTTTCAACAATAAGATATCATACATAGTTTTGGTAAAAGAAGCTCTCATAGGTGGTGAAAGTTGTGAAAGAACTAATTGGCGATAAAAGGAGGAACAAGCTGAACACCTAACTTTATGCATTAATATTTAAACTGTTTCAGTTTTGCTTGCAGCTCTTCGAGTTTTGGTAATAAGACATCGAATCATCAATGTATTTTTTTTTAACTTTTTCTTAATCTGAAACAACTTCTGTCATGGTTTTTCTTGGCTCTATAATTGGCTTATCCTTCTATTCTAATCCTCGTATGATATACATATTTTTAAAGCACGGAATGGAATAGAAAGGAGGAGGGACATCATGAGACATATGTGCAAATAGAATTTTGAAAACTATTTTGGTGGAAAACAAAGGTTATCATGATTTAGTTCTTTTATACAAGTGCTAAAATTTGTGAGAGGGATAAGGCTATTCGTATATATAGTGAACTGAATTATAAAGTTTTCGATGTAGAAGATAATTCAGTATAGTATTATTTTGCTTATTGTAACTAATGTGGAAGGATTTTAAAGGGTTTTTTATATATAGGTTTGATTGGTAGGGCGAGATCTATATGAAAAGTTAATATAATTTTCTGAAAGTCTCTTGTATATAATCAAATTTTCTCAAAGTTCATAAAGTATGGAATTGACACAATTTTAGAGACCAGGTGTGTGTAAAACCACACAGGAAGACATTAGAAATTTCAATTAAGTTTGAACTCCTTACCCAGCCCTAGGATCCCCGTTGCTGCCAAATATTGTAATTTAATCTAATTATTACTACCTTTTTTATTCATAATAAGGCATAGCTGTTTAAGAAAGACAACATCCATATTTAGTTTTAAAAAAATCCATATATATTTAGTTTCAAATCGTTTATAATTAATATATGAAGGGAAAAAGATCTAACATGTGTAATATTTTTGTTATGTATAGAACCATAATAAATTGAAAGGAAAACACATACCTGAAGCATGCAAATATTATTAAACAGGTTAGTTATTTGAATTTCAAGCAATTCCACATTCTTTTGCAACTCTATCAAATAACGCTTTTTCCTTTCCTTTGATTTAGCAGCAGATTCCCTATTAGCAAGAATCCTACAAAACACAAAAAATTCAACGTATATCAGTGTGAGAATATCAATCCCACAACCCCGAAACTTGTTTCTCATGTGTCTTCTAATCAATAAAATTATATGAAAAGAATTGAACTAACAACCCCTTGGACCAACGTTTTAATAAGATTATACTATTAAGTTGGTGAAGGCTATAACTAATTCATTCTATCGACTTTTAAATGAAGAATATATATATATATATATATATATATATATATATATATATAACAATATATGCAGTTTTGTACTCAGAATGGCAAATTTCAAGTATACTATCCACAAACAAAGTCACAAAATGCTCCAAATATCTTTGGTGAAAGAAGTCGTCTATGAAGAGAACTCTCAATTTGTTGGAAGTCTTACGTCGACTAAAAACAAGACCAATTTATAATATATAAATGAGGTGCAAACTTCACCTTAGAAACCGATTTTGTAAGATTAAGTTAGATCTTAAACCCATTTTCTAATATGTTATCGAGGTCATGGTTAGAGCCTATCCTAACAATATTTATTGTTTCTTGGACATTTCTATTCTACCCGCTGAGGTTTCTACATAGTTGGTGGATAAAACTAAAAAATAAAAATAAAAATTAATATAAACACATTTTCTTAAGAAAATAATGAAATTACACATAAAAGCACAACTACCATTGGAAAGATGAAATTTGTATGTACAGACACGACTTCGGTTATAAAAAAAATTAAGAAAGGTTCATGCAAATATAACTTTTTATTGTTGTTAAATTGTAAAACAGATAATTTGAAAACAAAGTCGTATATTTGAAATGAGATTTATTTATTTTTGGCATTTACTTCTAAAGACAATTTACTCATATGGATAATTATTTAAAGTTTACCTATGTTATTCTAATAATTTTTTATACTTTAGATCATATCAAAACTGCTATTTGATAACTTTAACTACAAAAGGATTAAAGTTTCATGCAATTTTTTTAATGAAAAGTTCTTAAAATTGAGTATCTACAAAAGTTGTTTAAAAAAGTAATTTTAAGATTAATTATGTTTTTTTTAAGTAAAAAAATAACATAAGTGATTGACAACGCAATAAAAAAAATCTAAAAGTTATAATTTATTTTTGAATTAAATATATTTATTAAACTATTCTCAAATATTGGATTTTATTTCTAAACTAGATATATACTTATTTGGTGATTGTATTTTACGAAAATAATTTAAAATATAGTCAGCTCAGGTATAAGTATTGTATTGTATATTACCGTCTTGTTTGAAAAATAAAAATCTCGTTTGTTTAATTATTTATTGGGTATTCATGAAAAAATATCCCCAATTTTTTTATATCTATAGTTATTTATATTTTTATATTTTTATATTTTATTTTAAAAAAAAATGAAATAAAAAATTTAAAATAATTTTTTAACTAATAAATTTAGATAAAAACATTTTTTTAATACAATTTAAATCAAGTTATTCAATAAAATATTAATACAAATGAATTTGACTTTGCTTTAAAAAATTTAAATATGTTACACCAAAATTATAAATTTTAAAAAATAAATCTTTTAAAAAATAACTTTAATTTCATATTTTTAAATAATAATAGAATTATACAAAATTAAATTTTAAATGATTATTCTATGATTAATATTATTTTATTAATAATTTTATTCATTTAACTTTTTAAAAATATTTAAAAAATTTACTAATAATTATTAATAGGTAGAAAATATTCGCAGAAAGAATATCATAAATATTATATTATATTTATCTCACTGGATAATTTAAATACCCTATTTACTACCGGTGAAAACGAAATTTTTTATTTTTCCTAATTCAACCATAACTCTACATGTATAATTTGTAGATATAACTGAAAAATAAAATAAATTTTCAAAGTTTTAAAAATGATTTAATTAAAGAATAAATTAAATGGAAAAAAAAATGAAGACCTCTTAGCCTTCTTAGGATCAACCATAGCAAGTTCAGCAAGTTCCTCCGGCCCCATGGGCCTCCTCGCCAAAGAAATCGCTGGCCCGGCCTGCATCAAAGCTGTCAGTGACGCGTCCAGGGGAACGTTCTGCCGACGCGGCTTCTGCTTGTTCTCTCCGGAATTCTTAGCACCGCCTTCCATGCAGAGATCATCCGAGACCACGGACTTTCCACTGTCGAATCCGTCTGTGGACCCTACTGGTGCAGGCTTCGAGCTCTGCTCGTTGGGTTTCTCCGAGGTTTCGGAGTGAACGGACACTTGAGGAGCGGTTGGCGGCGGAGGAGGAGGCAGTGGAGAGTTGAACATTTCGAAATCAAAATGTTTGGTATCGACGTTGAGAAGGTCGACGAAGGTGTCGAGGAGAGGATAGGAGGGGTCGGAGTGTATGGGGATGTATGGTTGCTCCGTCGCCACAATCTGGTCAAAGAGCGAGGCATCTGACGGAGCTCCGATATCGTTGTTTTCCATCACACAAAATGAGAAAAACGCTTTCCCTTTGGAATTTGTGATTTGGAGTTTTGTTGAAACGTTAAGTGGTGACAGGAAACTGAAGTTAAACTGATAAACGGATGTTGGGGGAAGGAGGTGTTGGGTGTGACTCGACGCATGTCCGTCGCTGTATATATAATCACTCGACTCTCTTAACTGGCTGTTAACGGATTTTGAAATCATTTAATTTAATTTAATTATTTATTATTTTATATTTTAATACTATTAATTAATAATATTTTTATTGTAGTGTAAATAAAAATAAAAAAACGATGTTTAAAAAAAGTAAAATATAATAAATTTTTCTATTAAAGACTCTAATTTTGTAAATATATAAATGATACAAAAATTTATAAATTTATTTATTTATTTTTTAAATTTATTTTTGGATTATATTTTAGTTATATGTTAATTTTTATATTTTGAATTATTTTAGAGTTTAAATCATTTTAGAGCAAAATTATTTAAATTTGAATTAAAAAAAATATTTTTTTTTGGATTTAGAGAAAAACTTGTAATTAAGTAACTAGTGAGTCAACACATTTAACTCACAAAAACATAGTGTACTAGACCGAGTTCAAATTTTTTTCAGTTCATAAATAAATGAATTAAGTTTCATTACTCACTAAGTAGTCAATTCCTGATGGACTAAACCGAATTGGGTCAATCGACCCGTTTTAACAGCATTGTTCCTCGTAAAAAGAAGAAAAAAAAAACACAAAACCATTAAATCATATATATTTAATTCACTTCCATTTATTTTTCAATACTTTTAATTTCATTTCATTTTTTGAAAACAACTTCTTTTGTTAAACTGATAGCAACGTACGATCAATTTTATTACAGTATAGCATCATTAATTTCTAACGGAGATATTAATTTGATAGGAAGTATTGTATTAATTCAACTTAAACAGGTTTTATTAAATTAAGAATATTTAAAATAGTATAATGAAATTGAAATAAAATAAAATAAAAGTAGTCAACACTAATTTTAATTGTATTAGAAAATTAAATCGTAATTAAAGATAAAAGATGTTATAACATCTCAATTTTAACCTCTTATTAATGAAATAAGATAAACAAAATATATTATCTCAATATACAAATACATAATATTAATATAGTTATAAAAAAGTTGTAATAACAAAATATATCTAAAATAATTAAAAAAAATCACTAGTCAATCAAAAATAATACTCTAAAATATAATTTTTTTCATTAGACATGTTTTAATACCTATCTCCTCGTATGTTTACGTCAATTGATTGTTTTAAGTTGAAGAATTTGTCAAATAAGTCAATTTTATAATCTCAATTTTTCAATAAGACAAGGACAGATCAAAAACTATTGGAAGAAATTAAAAGGGTTCTAAAAAATTAATTTACAAAAACATAATGTAATATTACAAATAATATAACTCATTTATAATAAAATTATCTACCTTAAATCTTTTAACATTAAAATAATCAAATCTCACTATTTTTAAATAATTATTATTTTCTAAATCTTTTATAAAATTTAAATTTAAAATCGCTTTTTTAATATATTTATGTAATTGAGTTTAATTAAAAATATTAAAAATTAAAAACCAATATATTAATATAAGTTATTTAAATAAAAAATAATTCATTAAGGAATAACCGGCGTAAGCGCGTTAACAAATATCTTTTGGAAATATTTAAGGGGGTTAAATTAATTAGTTTTGACCTGGGTATTTATTGGCACCCGGTTTTGAGTTCCAATAATATATAATTAATATTTTATTCTCTTTCTTCAAATGATCATTACTCCATTATATAATAAAATTTAACCATTTTTATGGTAGTGATATTTGTCCTAATTTGTTTTAAGAAATATACTAAAATGTAAATNAAATATCCCCAATTTTTTTATATCTATAGTTATTTATATTTTTATATTTTTATATTTTATTTTAAAAAAAAATGAAATAAAAAATTTAAAATAATTTTTTAACTAATAAATTTAGATAAAAACATTTTTTTAATACAATTTAAATCAAGTTATTCAATAAAATATTAATACAAATGAATTTGACTTTGCTTTAAAAAATTTAAATATGTTACACCAAAATTATAAATTTTAAAAAATAAATCTTTTAAAAAATAACTTTAATTTCATATTTTTAAATAATAATAGAATTATACAAAATTAAATTTTAAATGATTATTCTATGATTAATATTATTTTATTAATAATTTTATTCATTTAACTTTTTAAAAATATTTAAAAAATTCACTAATAATTATTAATAGGTAGAAAATATTCGCAGAAAGAATATCATAAATATTATATTATATTTATCTCACTGGATAATTTAAATACCCTATTTACTACCGGTGAAAACGAAATTTTTTATTTTTCCTAATTCAACCATAACTCTACATGTATAATTTGTAGATATAACTGAAAAATAAAATAAATTTTCAAAGTTTTAAAAATGATTTAATTAAAGAATAAATTAAATGGAAAAAAAAATGAAGACCTCTTAGCCTTCTTAGGATCAACCATAGCAAGTTCAGCAAGTTCCTCCGGCCCCATGGGCCTCCTCGCCAAAGAAATCGCTGGCCCGGCCTGCATCAAAGCTGTCAGTGACGCGTCCAGGGGAACGTTCTGCCGACGCGGCTTCTGCTTGTTCTCTCCGGAATTCTTAGCACCGCCTTCCATGCAGAGATCATCCGAGACCACGGACTTTCCACTGTCGAATCCGTCTGTGGACCCTACTGGTGCAGGCTTCGAGCTCTGCTCGTTGGGTTTCTCCGAGGTTTCGGAGTGAACGGACACTTGAGGAGCGGTTGGCGGCGGAGGAGGAGGCAGTGGAGAGTTGAACATTTCGAAATCAAAATGTTTGGTATCGACGTTGAGAAGGTCGACGAAGGTGTCGAGGAGAGGATAGGAGGGGTCGGAGTGTATGGGGATGTATGGTTGCTCCGTCGCCACAATCTGGTCAAAGAGCGAGGCATCTGACGGAGCTCCGATATCGTTGTTTTCCATCACACAAAATGAGAAAAACGCTTTCCCTTTGGAATTTGTGATTTGGAGTTTTGTTGAAACGTTAAGTGGTGACAGGAAACTGAAGTTAAACTGATAAACGGATGTTGGGGGAAGGAGGTGTTGGGTGTGACTCGACGCATGTCCGTCGCTGTATATATAATCACTCGACTCTCTTAACTGGCTGTTAACGGATTTTGAAATCATTTAATTTAATTTAATTATTTATTATTTTATATTTTAATACTATTAATTAATAATATTTTTATTGTAGTGTAAATAAAAATAAAAAAACGATGTTTAAAAAAAGTAAAATATAATAAATTTTTCTATTAAAGACTCTAATTTTGTAAATATATAAATGATACAAAAATTTATAAATTTATTTATTTATTTTTTAAATTTATTTTTGGATTATATTTTAGTTATATGTTAATTTTTATATTTTGAATTATTTTAGAGTTTAAATCATTTTAGAGCAAAATTATTTAAATTTGAATTAAAAAAAATATTTTTTTTTGGATTTAGAGAAAAACTTGTAATTAAGTAACTAGTGAGTCAACACATTTAACTCACAAAAACATAGTGTACTAGACCGAGTTCAAATTTTTTTCAGTTCATAAATAAATGAATTAAGTTTCATTACTCACTAAGTAGTCAATTCCTGATGGACTAAACCGAATTGGGTCAATCGACCCGTTTTAACAGCATTGTTCCTCGTAAAAAGAAGAAAAAAAAAACACAAAACCATTAAATCATATATATTTAATTCACTTCCATTTATTTTTCAATACTTTTAATTTCATTTCATTTTTTGAAAACAACTTCTTTTGTTAAACTGATAGCAACGTACGATCAATTTTATTACAGTATAGCATCATTAATTTCTAACGGAGATATTAATTTGATAGGAAGTATTGTATTAATTCAACTTAAACAGGTTTTATTAAATTAAGAATATTTAAAATAGTATAATGAAATTGAAATAAAATAAAATAAAAGTAGTCAACACTAATTTTAATTGTATTAGAAAATTAAATCGTAATTAAAGATAAAAGATGTTATAACATCTCAATTTTAACCTCTTATTAATGAAATAAGATAAACAAAATATATTATCTCAATATACAAATACATAATATTAATATAGTTATAAAAAAGTTGTAATAACAAAATATATCTAAAATAATTAAAAAAAATCACTAGTCAATCAAAAATAATACTCTAAAATATAATTTTTTTCATTAGACATGTTTTAATACCTATCTCCTCGTATGTTTACGTCAATTGATTGGTTTAAGTTGAAGAATTTGTCAAATAAGTCAATTTTATAATCTCAATTTTTCAATAAGACAAGGACAGATCAAAAACTATTGGAAGAAATTAAAAGGGTTCTAAAAAATTAATTTACAAAAACATAATGTAATATTACAAATAATATAACTCATTTATAATAAAATTATCTACCTTAAATCTTTTAACATTAAAATAATCAAATCTCACTATTTTTAAATAATTATTATTTTCTAAATCTTTTATAAAATTTAAATTTAAAATCGCTTTTTTAATATATTTATGTAATTGAGTTTAATTAAAAATATTAAAAATTAAAAACCAATATATTAATATAAGTTATTTAAATAAAAAATAATTCATTAAGGAATAACCGGCGTAAGCGCGTTAACAAATATCTTTTGGAAATATTTAAGGGGGTTAAATTAATTAGTTTTGACCTGGGTATTTATTGGCACCCGGTTTTGAGTTCCAATAATATATAATTAATATTTTATTCTCTTTCTTCAAATGATCATTACTCCATTATATAATAAAATTTAACCATTTTTATGGTAGTGATATTTGTCCTAATTTGTTTTAAGAAATATACTAAAATGTAAATTTAAGTATCAGTGTTTTTGAAGAGGTTTAATTAAGTTTTAATTGTAAATTGAATTCTTTTATTCAATCTTTACTGAATGTTTGTAGTAAATGAGTATTTGAATTTGTTTATTTAATTTATGCCATTTATATTTTCATTATTTTTAGGTGGTGTAGTTTTTAAATTATATTATCATCTTATTTATTTTCATGTATTAATTAGAAATATGATAAATTTTTTTAATACAAAATGATATTAAATAATTGATGTAAAATAACAAATAATTTTTATTATATTTAATTAAAAATATTTTTGAAAATGATTTTTTTCATTAGTATAAAAAATGTTGTTTTTTTTTCTTTCATGTTGTGAAAATTAGATACGACAAAAATTATAAAATGAAAACTCATTATAAAATCATTTTTTGTAAGAAATTGTTTAACCACCAGTATTTTTTATTTTTTCCAGATCAATTACCAATTCCTTTATGCTTGTGAAAATTGGATAAAATTAGATAAGACAAAAATTATAAAATGAAAATTCATTATAAAATCATTTTTTGTAAGATTGCTTAACGGTAAGTGGTGTTTCTGATTTTTTATAATTGGGGCTACAGTAGGGATGACAGAGAAAAAGTTGGAGTGAGAGAGATGAAAGAGAAAGGGTTGAGAGGAATAAGAGAGGTGAGTAATGGTTTGGGGGGTTTCTTTTTTTTTTTTTAGTTTTGAAAATGAAAATTATTAAAATACCATTAACCTTAAAACTTAGAATCCATGACATATAAGGGTATTTTTGTCTACTAAAACCCGGTACACGTTGTTAAAATGTACCAACTGAAAAACAGGCGCAAGCGCGTTAACAAATATCTTTTGAAAATATTTAAAGGGGTTAAATTAATTAGTTTTGACCTGGGTATTTATTGGCACCCGGTTGTGAGTTCCAATAATATATAATTAATATTTTATTCTCTTTCTTCCATAAATGATCATTACTCCATTATATAATAAAATTTAACCATTTTTATGGTAGTGATATTTGTCCTAATTTGTTTTAAGAAATATACTAAAATGTAAATTTAAGTAACACTATTTTTGAAGAGGTTTAATTAAGTTTTAATTGTAAATTGAATTCTTTTATTCAATCTTTACTGAATGTTTGTAGTAAATGAGTATTTGAATTTGTTTATTTAATTTATGTCGTTTATATTTTCATTATTTTCAGGTGGTATAGTTTTTAAATTATATTATCATCTTATTTATTTTCATGTATTAATTAGAAATATGATAAATTTTTTTAATATAAAATGATATTAAATAATTTATGTAAAATAACAAATAATATTTATTATATTTAATTAAAAATATTTTGGAAAATGATTTTTTTCATTAGTACAAAAAATGTTGTTTTTTTTTCTTTCATGTTGTGAAAATTAGATAAGACAAAAATTACAAAATGAAAACTCATTATAAAATCATTTTTTGTATTAAATTGTTTAACAGCGAATATTTTTTATTTTTTCAGTTCAATTACCAATTCCTTTATGCTTTTAAAAATTAGATAAGACAAAAATTATAAAATGAAAACTCATTATAAAATCATTTTTTGTAAGATTGCTTAACGGTAAGTGGTGTTTCTGATTTTTTATAATTAGGGCTACAGTAGGAATGAGAGAGAAAAGGTTGGAGTGAGAGAGATGAAAAAGAAAGGGTTGAGAGGAATGAGAGAGCTGAGTAAGGGTTTGAGGGGTTTCTTTTTTTTTTTTTTTAGTTTTGAAAATTAAAGTTATTAAAATACCCTTAACCTTAAAACTTAGAATCCATTTTTGTCTACTAAAATCCGGTAGACACTGTTAAAATGTACCAACTGAAAAAAAAAGGCGTAAGCGCCTTAGCAAACATCTTATGGAAATATTTAAAGGGGTTAAATTAATTACTTTTGACCTGGGTATTTATTGCCACGCGGTTGTGAGTTACTGATAAGTGTGAAAAAGAGTTATTTTTATACTTATAAATGAGCTCAATCTTGTAATTATTCATGTTGTTCCTCATTGAAAAGTTGTAATAGGTAGTACATGTGCGCTGAGCGAATTAATGAATTTAAGTGGCTTTAAAAGACGTGACAGAGTGACAGAAATATTTCTTCTGATAGAAGTTCCGGACAGAAGAAAGAAATGAAAACATCTCAGGAACTTCCGGAGACTACTTCAATGCATCAAGACACCATTGTTGCAAGGGATTGCTTCAAATGTGTACGTTTTAGATGACTAGGAGTAGTTAAATTTCTCTTTCGTTGGGATTGGATGTAATGAACTCATTGTGATTTAATTTTCCTGTTCAATATATAGTTGTTCATTCATATGCTCTTTCTTCAATTTATTATTATTGTATGAAAATATAATGTTATTTGAATGTCTTTGATTACTGGAAAGTAACTCTGAACATGAACGTAGATAGAGCAATTAAGTGATTGGGATCTAGGGATAGACTCAATAACTTGATCATTCTTAACATCGGACTTAATGCAAATTGTATACTTCATCAAACTTCATCCACTTCATACCTTAGAGCACTCCTCCACGGACTCCACTTCATCCTTTCGTCCACTTCGGCCACTTCGTGCACTTCGTCATCTCGTAACTTTATCCACTTTGTCATATTCGTCAACTTTGTTCCACGTTTCTTCCGATTCTTCCACTTCTTCCAATTCCTCACTTCCTCTAATTCCGCCACTTCGTCTTAGATCCAGCTGTGGAAGACCTTTCCCTGCTTGATCAAATATGGAGGATGAAGCAAATTTTTCCTCAAAACTCCGGCTAGATACTGTGGGGGAAGACATCTACCTAAAAGTCCAAAATTGGCAACTGCCACCATGATCAGGGGAGTTTTCTTTCTCTCTTCTCCCCCTTTCCCTAATTTTATTGCACTTGTCCATGATTTGTTGATTGTTCTGATTTTGATCTTATGCTTATGACACATTGAGGACACTGTGTAGTTTTAAGTGTGGTCTATTGGGGGAGATTATGATTTTTTTTTGTTAGTTTTTGTTTTACGTGTTAAAATTTTTTCTTTTCTAGGTAGTTTTTGTTATGTCTTGTGTACAGTTTGCATACTTTTCGTAAATTCTGGAT